GGGCTCTCTCTACTGGGCCAATTTAAAATGCCTGCATTCCTGGGAAGCTATAGACCTTTCAAAGACAACAAAAACTGAAGGTATTTTTACTTCTTAAGAGGCTAGTAAAATTTCAGAGGAGCAGAGAGCTTTTGGTTGCTATCAAAATACAGGTCTACGTTGAATACAGAATTTGAAACTTTAATAAGCACAAAATGAAGGTAAGATTGATCTTTGGATTTCAAAAGCATAGGCTGTTTCCTAATCAGTATCCAAAGCAAGGGAAAGTATTTCGAGGATATTTTGTATTCAGGTTTATTATGCTCCAAATTCAATCTTTCTGATTAGAAAGTTTATTCTTGCTACAATATAAAAGCAAGTGTAGGACAAGGGTATACAGCTAAATAAATTTTTATAAATTCAATCAGAATTTAAAAATATTTTAAGCCATGAAACTTAATACTGTATGATTAGTATTTAGAAGTAATGTAGAAAAAAGATGTGCCTTTTTCTCTATTATTCTTATGTGAGGATTATCCTAGTCATTTTCTCTCCTTTCTTCCTCTTTCTCTGAAATAAAATATTTTAAAAATCTCAAATTACAGGAGTTATAAAGGTGTACATTTGTATACATCTATAAGAAAGACAAATAATGATGTATTTATGTGGCAGAAACTTGTTGAAATTAACAACTTTCAAGTCAAATTAGAAAGCTAGTATTGTATAAATATACCACAGATTTATCCACTCCTCTGTCGTTGGACATTTAGGTTGTTTTCATGTCTTGGCTATTGTACATAGTGCTGCAATGAACATTGGGGTGCATGTATCTTATCAAATTAGTTTATACAATGGAATACTACTCACCCATAAAAAGAGTAAAATAATGCCATTTGCAGCAACATAGATGGACCTGGAGATGATCATTCCAAGTGAAGTAAGCCAGAAAGAGAGAAAAATACCATACGATATCATTTACATATGGAACTAAAAAAAAAAAAAAAGGAAGACACTAATGAACTTATCTGCAAAACAGAAATAGATTCATAGACATAGTAAACAAACTTATGGTTAGCAGGGAAAGCAGGTGGAAGGGGACAAATTGGGAATTTGAGATTTGCAAATATTAACTACTATACATAAAATAGATAAAAAATAAATTTCTTCTGTGTAGCACAGAGAACTATATTTAATATCTTACAATAACCTATAGTGAAAAAATATGGAAATGAATATATGTACGTATATATATGACTAAAACATTACACTGTACATCAGAAATTGACACATTATAACTGATTATACTTCAATTTAAAAAAAAAAAAAGCTAGCATTGATTCAACGTAGTATCTAACAGCCTAAATTGTTATTCAGAATTACTGAATAACATGGCATAGTTACTGCTGTGAACCAAATGGGTTAATTTGTACTTACTATAGTTTAAATATATTCTGTTTTTACTCTATTTCTTGGAAAATTGGTGGTTTATGTACAATAATTCTTACCTAATCAGACTATCCAGTTATACAGTTTCCTGTCATTCTGAATAAATGGGCACTGGCTATATCTTTGTTTCCATCATACTATGTGGTGACGTCATACTCCAATTTTAAAGATAATTTTATTTATCACACCGGAATTGGCCAATGCCTGGAAAGGTTACATCTGTAAAGTAAACATAGAACACTAAGGAGCCAAGTGGAGCCCTGATGATTTGTTTACATTGAACATTGATTTTTTAAAACCTCATTTCCCTGTTTTGTTACCGATGGAAGTGGAAAAAACAATAGAATCTCTCAATGAAAAAAACCCCCAGATTACTTAGTTGTAAAAACAGGTCCTTGACATACTTCCTGTTCATCTAGGGAGATACTGATATCCACTTTGTTACCTTTGCCTCTGGAGGTAGGAGGGAAGGTCATTCATGATATGATGCTTGGATGTTTCTTCAAACACATCAGAGTAACAGATAAAAGGAAATGGCATGTGGAGTTGGCATGGATGGCAACTGTCAATGGGAGGAGAGATTACACTATATACATTTGTGATTATAGGTCATTTTCCTTCATGTTCTAATATTTATAACTTTATTCAAATAGCAAGTAAACATTAGCATTTTCCTTTTGTTCCCAACAAATGTTCCTGGTAATACTGTGACGACAAGGGTACTTTTTGATTCACCTTGGTTACCTTTGAATAATAATTAATGGAAATATAGATGACTAGTCAAATATTTTATTACTTACCTTGGAAATTGATAGTTTTACAACTTTACATTAGATAGAACAGTACAAACAAGTTGTAGTCTTTCAAGAAATGTCTATGGAATTTTATCTCATAATCTTGGAATTGTCATTCCTGAGCTGAGTTCATCAAGTCATACTTGATTTAAATGGCCTATAAATTGAAAAATTAGAAACACAGTCTTTTAACATGTTCCTGTTTAGTGGCTGGATCCTCTTTTTGTCTTTTAAGTAAAAGCTTAAAAAGAAGGTGGATGATGCATTTTCCCAGTACTCTTGAAAAATGTATAATGATTTAAATTGAACAGAATTTCACAAAATATCAGATGCATTATCTCCTTTTAGTAGACTCTAAATGTGGTACATAGGAGATACTCTTTAAGCAGCTACTACGGATATGAGATTGGATATTGATTTATCAATACATTTTTTCATTAAAGCCATATGTTTTATATGTTTATATACACAGCATATTCTAAAAGTGTTTATTGATATCAGGAGAGCAAGAATTTAAATTCTCTACCAAGTGGTATGTTGAAGTGAGTTCTTCTGGACCAGACTTCACTTCCCAATTACATTGGCAGTAACTTGAATTGCAAAAGCTCTACTTAAATGATTGAGATATGATTCCTACAGAGGCAGGGATCCCTGATGGACTTTATGAGGTTTATTCATGATTTCTTAAGAGGGCATTTACCTTGGAAAGTAGTTAATAGCACAGACTGTCATATCCAACTGCCAATTCCTCTTGGCTCAATCTGTAAAATATATCCAGCATCTTAAAACTTGTTACCATTCTGCCCCCTCTCTTCCAGGACACCATCCCCTCTCACTTGGATTGTTGCCATAATCTAACTGATTTCCCGGTTACTATACTGCTCCCTCTAGGTTCAGTCTCAACACAGAAGCAAGAGCAATCCCTTGAAAACATGAGTCAGATAACGTTGTTCCTCAGCTTAAATCCTTCAGCGATAGCCCACATCACTCTGAGTGAAAGCATAAAGCATTATCACAGCCTTCACTGTTCTACAGAACCTGCTTCCCTCTCCCCATCAGCTCTGTGACCTCTTATCCCATAAACTGCCCCCCTCTCCTTTCCTCCCTCTTCTCCAGCCTCACTGGCCTCTTCAGTCTTCCTGCCTCAGAGCTGTCTCCTCTTCACCAAGTATCTCCATTGTCTACCCTCTCATTTTTTTCAATTCTTTGTGCAAGTGTTTCACATGTTATGTTTTCAATGAGGCTGCCCTTTACCTCCATCTTACTCCACTCTTCAGCCCTTTAACATGTTTTTTTCCCATTTACTTTTTTTATATTAATTTTATTTTTTCTCGATGTTTTTGATTTGCAGTGTTGTATTAGTTTCTGGTGTATAGTATAGTGATTCTTTCATATATATATATATATTCTATTTCATTACAGGTTACTACAAGACATTGAACATAGTTCTCTGTGCTATGCAGTAGGACCTTGTTGTTTATTCTTTACATAGTTTGTATCAGTCAATCCCAAACTCCTAAATTATCCCTCCCTCTCCCCTGTGCCCCCTAGTAACCATAAGTTTGTCTCCTGTATCCATGAGTCTCTTTCTATTTTGTAAGTAAGTTCGTTTGTGTCATTTTTTTAATTTTTTATTATTTTTTATTATCTTTTCTTTCACAACTGAGATTTCATTGGTTGTTTTGAGGATCAGTACAAACATTTCAATTTGTACACAATTCTTAATACACACACCAAAAATCATGCAGTTGTGACTCTTTTCCAAACAGTTATTCCAGTGACTTTCCAGCTGAAAATCTGAAAGCAAATTTTCCTTAACAGGGTATCAAGTACCAATCCAATGTTGATATGCTGTTACATCATAAGTCCCACCAATTCACAATTTAATATCATATACACTACATACATACTAAAATTTTCAATCGTTCACAGCACATTAACAAAGTTACTAGGAAAACTGGACTACCACGACCAAAGATGTTACAGAGTACACAAAATTCCGATAGAGGAGAGCCAAGATCAAGGAGTGGTTTGCTTTAGGAAACAATTCTACCAAAAACAATGTGGGAAGAGAAGTAATTTAAAGTGTTCAAGACATTAAATGCACAACTGACTCCAAACTGCAATTTAATTATGCTCTGTATTATAGGATATAAAAAACTAACCCCCTATCTGTGGAATGTTAAGCTGACACTGAAAACAATCAAAGCCTCCCATATTCAATATCCCACTATTTTCTGGTTGTATCAGAAAATAAACCACCAGCAAATTATTTCACCTCTTAAAAAAAAAGCATTTACACTTTAAAAATGGGATGAGGTGGTATTCCCTCCTTGTTGAAAATGTTTCTAGAGCTACTAAAAAACTTGCATTTACAAAATAGTTGATAAAAATATTCCTCTGGATTGTACAAGAAGGGAGACAGGGACGACTGATAAGACCAGGTGTATGCTATTAATCAGACTTCGCTTCTTTCTCTCCTGCTTCATCTCATTTTTAGTTTCTCTCATTTTTGGTTTCTCCGTTTTCTGCAGGTAAATCTTTTGTCTCTTGGTTAGCCACTTCGGCCTGTTTTCCCTTTGCTCCCCTTTTTCCTTTTGTTTGCACTTCTTTGTCTGAAGATTTATCCTTTCCTGCCGCCTTTTTCGGCTTTGTTTCCACTTTTGCAGAAGCAGGTTTAGCGGACAACCTTGCTGATCTCCCCCTGGGCTCCTCCTTCGCCATCCCCTCGGCGGAACTGACCTTCCTCTTGGGCATCATGGCAGCGGGGCAGGCGTGTGCCGGGTGCCTGCGGGCCGCGGCGCGCCGAGAGCCTTCGCGAAGCTGGGCTTCATGGCCGCTGCCACTCCTCCCACCACTCGAGCTGCTGGGATCCGCCTGTGCCATTTTCTAAGAGTCCACATTTAAGTGATATCATATATTTATCTTTCTTTGACTTACTTCACTTAGTATGATAATCTCTAGGTCCATCCATGTTGCTGCAAATGATATTATTCCATTTCTTTTTATGGCTGAGTAGTATTCCAGTTTATATATATGTCACATTTTCTTTATCCAGTCATCTGTCGATGGACATTTAGGTTGCTTCCATATCTTGACTATTGTAAATAGTGCTGTTATGGACATTGGGGTGCATGTGTCTTTTTGGATTAGAGTTTTCTCTGGATGTATGCCCAGGAGTGGGATTTCTGGATCACATGGTAAATCTACTTTTAGTTTTTAAGAAACCTCCATACATATTATTTTTATATCTTCCTTTTTCTCTTTCATTAAAATAAGAATTTCATAAAGAAAGGGATTTGACTGTTTTGTTCATTGATGTACCCTCAGGGCCTAGCACGTTATAGATGTTCAGAAGATATTTGTTAATGAATGACTGAATCCATTGCTATTTTATGACAGTGGCAGAAAAGAGTGCTTTGGCCACCATAACATGGGCCACTACCTTCTGCTGAAATGTGATATCTTTGAGGGGGCACAAATAAACAGTTCCCCCTGCCTGGTCTAGGTCTAAACCAATTGATAAATAAAGCTAAGTTTCAGCAGAAAGAGGACAGAATATCAACTTGTTATTGAAAGGACCAGTGAAAGGACATGCTTACGTTTGTAAGCAAGTCAGTTACCTCGGACTGAATCCCCAAATTAGGCACGTGTATCTACAAAGCAACACTGGACCACAGCAAACCTCTCCGAACAGGAGTGGAATGAGTTCCCAGGGAAGCAGAGAATTCTCACTCCCCAGAATAAGGAAAGAGGAAGGAGCTGGGCTAGTCATGCAGTTTCTCCTTCCAAATTCACAAATAACATATTTTTCTTCTTGGAGGTGAGTGGGAGGTGGAGCAGTTGATGGGATATAGTAGAGAAATGTGTGGTGAGAGGATGCAGTGGCTAGGAAGTTTTACCCTAAAAAGTATCTCTTCATATGGAAGAAAACATCAGGCATGGGGAAGAAGCACTGTCCTCTAATGGTATCTGTACTGTTCTTCTCTTGAATTTTTTTTTTTTATGGTTAGAAGTAATAGATCTCACATATTTGGAATTGTCACTTTTGCTTTCTGCAAACCCAGAGATTAACGGATTTGGGCTTCATCTGAAGGTTCAGGGAATGATGGAAGGAGTTTAGCAAGCTGGTGACATGATTAGATATGCTTTAGTAAGATCACTGGTGGGAGGGTGGAGAATGTTGGAGAGGAACAAGACTAATGCCATATGGCCACTTGGAGGTTGTAGGTGTAATCAGATAAGAAGCAACTAGGGCCTGAATGAAGGAGAGACCAGGAGGAAGCAACCAGATTCTGGAACTATTAAAGAGGTGGGGCCTCAGGACTCAGTAATCACTCTGTATGAGGAGAAAGAGAGGAAGCATCAAGGATGTCAGTGTTTCATTAGGGCAGTTTTAATGGAGTCCAAGCAGAGAAGCAGTGGGAGGTGACAGAGGAAACACTAAGGACCCTGTAAGAACCATCAGTGAATGGGTGGTGAGACTTTGAAGAGTGGCCAGAGGAAACCAGGGTGAAGAAGGGTTTTAGGATGGGAGCCTTATTAGCAAGTTAATGTGATGATGAGTGGAGAACAGAGAAGAGAGGCAAAGGGAGAAGGAAGAGAGAGGATAGGAGATGTCTGATAGAGTAAGGACCCGTGGAGGTAGGATGTGGAGTCCTCTGTATACAGGCTGGATAGGAAAGAGGCAGATACAGGGAGGATTTCACAACTCTCTACTCCTATGAAAGCAGCATCAGAGCAGTGATGAACAGATGCTGAGTGAATTAATGAATCAACGCATGAAAAGATGCATTACATGCTGGACACATTCAGGCAAGCCCCAAACAGCAGAACTCTAACAAAGGTGGGCATGTTCTCAAGATAGGTGGGGTGGACCTCTAGTGGCCAAAAAGGAAACCCAGAAATGTAATAGCCAAGAACAAAACTGGAATAAAACGGCTGGGGAAAATTTAATTACAAAAGAACAAACAGATAAAAGCCTTGCTCTACAATGCTGTCGATCTACTTGTATATAATTTTTGCTGTGCTCTTCCTTATCAGTAGGGTTAATGGCATATGCCTTAAGAATTCAGTTTTATAAATAACTACTTAGAGTGAATGGCTTATGGAAATGAAGCCAATAATCTTTTAATTATGATTAAAACTTTAAAAAAAATACCTGCAGGAGGGGACTAATTACTTATGTGTGGAATTTCATGTACAAGCTAGATAAGATAAAAGTATTTATACATTTTCAAATAGAGAAAAGGGGAAGAGACAATGATAATCAAATGAGCCCTTGTATGCCAAAGTCTCAAATATGATGAAAACAGTGAATGTAAAGATATCAGCAGCAACAGGATTTTTTAATTAAGTAAAAATATAAAACTACAAAGAACGTTGAAAAAAATTTCAATCCTTTAAAGTTAATAATCATATCCTAATGTCAAGTTACTTTCAGTAAACTAGGGAACAATTATTTGTTAATGTAAACAATAATTCTTTTAGGAGCCTGAGTGTTTTCTAAAGGAGATCAAATTGAGTGTATGCATCCCCCAGGCCTGGGGGTGGAAGCTCACCCTGTCTCATAGACACATGACAGAGGGTGTACCTCTGCCCCCTGGGCCCAGGGGTGGAGGGGAAACCCATCTGCTCATAGACACATGACACAGGGTGACCCTCCACCCCCAGGCCTGGTGTCTGATTGACTGATTAACAACTCAGATTCCCTGCACTCTAGTCGATTGAGAGCTCAGGTTTCTTGTGTTCCGGATTTTTCCTTTTCCTTTCCCCTTCCTCTCCCTTTGCCCAATGCTCATTTCAATCTAAGCTACCAATGAGTCCCTCCTCTAGTTGTAAGACCCCAAATCTTGGGGACGTGGAGAGCGAGGACCGCTCTAGCTACTTCCTGCTCATCTGGGGCGATGATAGAGCTCGCTGGGGTCCCAGACTAGCTGGCTGTCCTTGGGCAGGATGTGAGTGAAGGGTCAGTGTTCATCGAGGGGCTTGTATCTAAGTGGTCTTGGCTGATTGCTTGATTACCTTGTTATATCATCATTTGAAGTTTATCTCTAGACAAGAAGAAACACTTTTCATAAGAAGTTTGAAAAGATAGAGGTCAAATATATAGAGCTAATCCTAGCCAAAGGACAAAAGGGACAAACAAGGGTCTTAAAAAACATTGATTTCTGTGCTTTCTGTTGGTTTAGGTTTTACAAAGCAGATGTTGCAGTTAGTCCAGTGAACTAAAGGAGTCAAAAGGGGGACCCTAATGTCAGAGACATTTTCAGTTAGTGTTTAAACAGTCTGGCGGGGGCCCTAAAAGAGAAAAGATTTGAACCAGGAGACATTTAAGAAAGAGGTTTATCTAACAGGGATCCATAGTCCCCTAGGGCGATGGAACAGTCTCACTGGAGTGTTGCTTGGAAAGCAGTCGCAGATCACTAAGAGGTTCACAAGAATATGTGGCTCCCATCAGTGAACCAGATCTCATCAGGGTTTTCCAGGCCTTGGTCGCTGAGACCTGTTCTAGCTCCTAGAGAAACGGATAGGGTCTCATGACATAGGTGAAAGGGAAGAGACTCCTCTGGTGATGGTAATAGTGTGTAGCCGGATTGAGTGTGCCACAAACAGAGACAGCGACATCTGGGTTTTCCAGTAATAATGCCTGATATTGAAGAAGCCGAGCATCTGAGAGCCAGAAATGTCCATTACCTTTTAAAGGTCAGAAACTTGATGGTTAGTGTATGCTTGTATAGGGGCCCCCAGAGTTAGCTTAAAAGCTTCCTCCAGGAGAGTGCAGAGGGCTCCCAACACTCTTAGGCAGGAAGGCCAGCCTTGAGCAGTGGGATCTAGCTGCATGGAGAGGTATCCCATAGGCTGTTGGGTAGGACCCAGCCATTGGGTGAGGACCCCCAAGGCTATTCCTCCTCTCTCATGAACATAGAACTGAAAGGGCCTTGTGGGATCTGGAAGCCCCAAGGCCAGGGATCTTACTAGGAGATTTTTTTTTTATTCTTCCATTGCTTCCTGTCGGGAAGGACCCCACTGGAGAGGTCTTCCCAATCATCTACCCCTAAGGCCCCTTCTGGGCAGCTGGGGACCCAAGATCCCCATGAATCAGCTCATGGATCTGGTGTTTAAAGTATTTAATAGAGAGA